TCGACGACGGTGGTGGCGCCGTGACGTGCCGTGGACGGCGAGCCAGGGTCGTACCCGCGCAGGGGGCGGCAGTGTCCGGCTGTTGACCCGACGACTGCTGACCTCGGTCTCCGCGGCGACGGACCGGCAGCCCCGGAGGCCGGACATGGAGCTGGGTGGGGCCGACGGGTGCCGCCCCAGCAGTGACCTGTGTCGCGGTGGAGCGGATCTGTGCCATCGTGGAGTTGACGTTTGTCCTGGTGGAGCTGACGTCTGCCACGGAGGAGCTGACCTGTGTCACGGAGGAGGTGACCTGTGTCACGGCGATGACCCCTGTGTCGGCGCGGAGAACACGGGGCCAGTCCGCGTCTTCGCAAACGCAAAGGAACGCGACAGGACCAACAAGTGAGATATTGCGCCCCTTCTGCGCTCTCGTGTGGCGTGGAGGCTGTAGGCTGATGTTGGGGAGGGGGAGGGGGGTAACTCCGAAATGCCAAAATGAGCCCCTGAGATTGATTGATGAACCCCCGGATGTGAGCCGGTCCTCTTACAAATCCGAATGGGCTCTTGGCAGTCGGTAGTGATCTCACTACATGTCAAAATGGTCCTATACGGGTCATAATGGGCCCTCCGCAGCACAAAATAGTCCCCCCCCCACAGCTGGTAATGGGCCCTCTACAGGTTGGAATGGTTCCAACTACAGGTGGGAATATGACTTCTACGGGTCCATATGGGCCATCGTTAGGCCAGAGTGGCTATTTGGAGGCCATTATGGACCCTCTTCAGGCTTGAAGGAGCCCCGCTACAGGCCAGAGTAGACCCTCCATAGTCAATAATGTGCCCTCTACATGTCCAAATGGAACCTCCACAGGCCAGAATAGGCCTTCTACAGGTTAAAATAGGTCCTCTAAGGTCAGAGTGGGCCCTCTACATGCTAGAATGGGCTGTCCACAGTGAATAATTGGCCCTCTACTGGTCAGGATGAGCCCTTCAAAGCCAATCAATGACTTCTACAGGTGTGTCACTTAAGTCACTAGTGAACCGTCCGCAAGCCCGAATGGGCACATGCACATGTAATCTACAAGATTGTAAATGAATAAATGGAAAACCCATGAATATGTATGGCAGAATGGATCCTCCACAGTCGGTAATATACCATCCAGTCCTCCACAGTCAATAATGGGCCCTCAACAGAACCAGGAGGACCCTCTGGTAGTCAGAACGAATATTTTATAGGCTAGAATGAGCCCTGGAAGGTCAGAACTGACTTTTACAGGCTTACGTAATTCATTAACAGTTCAGAATCGACACTTTACTTACCAAAATTGGCCCTCCACAGACACCCCGCGTTAAGAGAGAACTGCCCCCCCCCCCCCTAGCTTATACGTTGTGGAAGAAGCAACATGCTCCCTCACTACCACCCCCCCCCCCCCCGTTTGCACATCCATATCTACATTGCATTACAATCTATCCGGCCTCACTTATTCCTGAGCATATTGCACTGCTGGCTTCGTCCCATGACCGATATATTTCATGCGCTGCTCCGCATTATTAAACGGGTATGACGGCGTGGGCTTTACCGTTGCAATGGTCCTAAGCAATGGCCCTGTTGCGTCTTGTAGCGTCAACACTGCGTTCAGTCGACTAAGGACCATGATCCCGACTCAACCGGCGGACAGGAAGCTGTCGAAGATCGAGACCCTTCGCCTGGCCTGCAGCTACATCACCCACCTGGACACCCAGCTGGCCACAGGTGAGGGGTGCTGGTGTGACTGAGGGCACAGATCACTCACCTGGACACTCAGCTGGCCACAGGTGAGGGGTGCCGGTGTGACTGAGAGCATAGATCACCCACCTGGACACTCAGCTGGCCACAGGTGAGGGGTGCTGGTGTGACTGAGAGCATAGATCACCCACCTGGACACTCAGCTGGCCGCAGGTGAGGCGTGCCGGTGTGACTGAGGGCACAGATCACTCACCTGGACACTCAGCTGGCCACAGGTGAGGGGTGCCGGTGTGACTGAGGGCACAGATCACTCACCTGGACACCCAGCCTGCCCCCGGGTGTTGGCCATTTTGCTTTGCGTGCCTAATGTCAAAATTAATATGGCAAATAGGTGGTCGGGTCCAAGATTGTTTTGGGGTTGAGATATGACTTCCCATTTGAAGACGATGTGATGGCGATAATGATCATGTATGATGAGGGTGAGATTGATATCGTCAGTTAAGACGCTTCTTGCGTTTCATCGGTCCAGTGTTCACTTTTTGCTCACATGTAATGACATGGAAGGGGACTCAGAAAAGCTTCAATGGGGCTCAAGTCAGCATTGAGGACTGAACCCATGCAGAGTAAAAGCATACAAAACTTACAAGACATACAAACTAAACAGCCGTCCGAGAGTATGACCTATTTAATGGCCAGTAGGGGCATCACAGAACTTTCGGTCAGCCCCGCGTAAATTATTTAGATTCGACTACTTTTTTAGGTGCGGTCCCTAGGAGAAGGCATCTGCTCCCCGGCATGGCTGCACTTCTTAAAGTACCATCTTTCTGACACCTTCTGACCACGTCCCAGCGGACCAGATGTCCTCCGTCTGCAGTGTCCAGTCCCTCGCGGACACCGTCTCTCCGCCGCCACATCTCGCTCAAACGTGATCGCGCCGCTTTTTTGGCTGTCCGTCCCGCCGGCGGCCGTCTCGTGTTCCCGACCGGCGGACTGGCGCTCCGCCTCCCCGAGCCGCGCGCGCCCGGCCGACCCTTGACGGACGACCTGTTGACGGCCGCACCATCCGTCACCGACAAACGGGGCCGATGACGGCCGCCGGGGCCGGTTCCACGCCGTCTGCGACTCCGCCTTCCGGCCCGGCCGGATGGAGGGGGGCGGGGGGGGGGGGTCCCGTCGGGTCAGTGGGTGTTGCAGCCGGCTGTGACGACCCCCCCCCCCCCCCCTCCTGCCCCGGCCGGCTACGGACCAGGGCTGCCGCGGTTGGTTTGCCGGGTCGAACTCACGGGGCCACCGGTGTGAAGGCGTCTTTTGTCGGGCACTGGGATGGTATGCACGACCATCCGCGTCCAAGTGATGAATGGGTTTGCCTTCTTTTAGCCTCCGTAAACAGAAGTTTTGTGTTGTTGGTAATCCTACGTATGTTTGGATGTTCCGCAAGCGCGTGTTTTTAGGCAATTTTTGTTGAGATTGACAAACACGAAGTGACTGAGCAGTGTTCAGGTAACCCAGCGCAGGCAACTGGAGGATGCATGGGGGCTCTCGTCAAAGATCAGGCAAAATAAGCAGCCAAATAAGGTTCATTAATTGCCCACTTTCACGGAAAATGGGGCTGAGTTTCTTTCAAATGGTCCAAAATTTTTGCATTAGGTAGGTACATGGCGATTAGCACAAAGGTTGTTTTCGATTACGCTCCAGATTACCGCTTGGCTTACAACTTTGAAAAACCATGCAGATATCTCCTAAAATGCTGTGTTGTGTTCTGAAATCGAAAGACTTGTGCATTTGCGATGAACAGCTAAGACATGGTATGTGTAATTCAAAGTGGATGGTGTCAAATGTGACATCCTGAATTTGATACCGAAGGCGATACCGCGCGATCAAGCATACAACTCGGAACGAAATCGAGATTGACCGCACACATTTCGGGCACACCGTACCTGCGACAGCCAGCCAGCCAGACCCCCGCCGTTACGTCCTCCCCGCCTCTGACCCCGTGTGGCCCCGGTAACCGACACCGCGTCAGTGCCGGAAGGTCAGGCGCGGGTCACGGCAGCGCCGCCGGGTGGGCCGACCCCGGAAGCCGCCCTCTCGGACCTGTTTCCGCTCTCAAGGACCGGAAGAAGGGGGGGGGGGGGGGTACAGGCCCGTGGGACTCGGCGCAGCCTCGGAGGTAGGGATCGCTGTGGACGGGTACGGCGCTGACCACGCGTCCCACTTCGGTCTGAAACAATGGAGCCGACGGACACGTGAGACGGCTGAACGCCGCGCCGTGGCACAGGCGGCAGTGGCGTCGCGCGCTGCTCGCGCTATGCCTCGGTACGGTTTCCAGTGAACTGGCACCGCTCTCTTTAAGTCGTGTATAGAAACCCATGAGTTTGTAGTGACGTCTGCTTTTCTCTGGCGTCAGGAAACGCGTCAGACCATGACATCGATTCAGGAACGCCGGATCCTGAACATGATTGGATATCCTGAGGGGTGGGGGAAGGCATGCCTGATGTGTCAATATCAGCCATGGTGGAAAAAAAACGAGAAGAAAAAGGCCTCATGCACTAGAAAACCAAAACCAAAAAACAACGGTGTGAACATGTCATTCCTTGTCCGACCCTTGGCAACACCCCTGTCAGCATACGTTTCGCGAGTTTTTACCCCTTCAGTCATCACTTGATTTGTCATCCTCGGTTGTGCTTCCAGTATTGTTTGCAATTCTGTGGCCTAACTGTCAAGCCAGGCCGATGACACCCGTTTGTCCGTCGAAAACTCAGAGGGCGTGGCCAGTGCGCAGTGCGAAGGTTTTACCCCGGCCCTGGTCCATTCCGAACGCAGCACCTGGAAGCCATCTGTCACTGGGTCGCCCGGCTCCGGCTGCAAACGGTGTATTCGCTTTTGAACAGCTATCGCAGCTTCGTTTCATCAGGAGGAACCCCATGCGTGGGTGGAACCGCCGGGAACTCGAAACGAGGCACTTGAAGTACAAAACACAGGACTGTTGCTTACTTCAATGCCGTATTATCTCATCTGGAGAACTGGCGACCACAGATTCCTAAGTATGACTGCCGCGCTCACCATCGCTATTCACAACTGCTTTATTGCCCACCGGTGTGAATACGACACGCAAATAAGCATGGCCATTTTTTTCTGACGCTTCCTTACAGCTGCCAGACAGCAGCCCGAGAACGCCTCTACGCACTTATGAACAGCTGGCTACGAGCGGTGCCCTGTCGAACACGTCCGTTCCCTCCTGCAGACCACCCTCTGTATCACGCTCTCGCCGGGCTGGCGGCAGCCCGGGGCCGCGTCACCGGCGCACGGGCGCGAGGAACGCCTGCTCGCCCATCAGGGGCGTGCCCAGCGGCGTCTCCGACCTGGCGCGCTTCAGGGGCCGACCGGCCAGCCACTGCTCGGCGCCGCCGGCCGAGCGCTCGCTGCCGCCCAGCCCGCTGGTGCTGGCCTCGGCCCGGCTCCCCGGGCGGGCGCGCAGTGGCCAGTCACCGCCGTCACTGGTCCGCTCAGGGGAAGAGGTCGAGGCGTGTGGCAGGCGCTCGGTGGCGGGCCGGGCGCTCGAGTCGGAGCTGCTGGAGGGGCCCAGGCTGAAGCCCAGTCCGCTGGGGGTCCGGTCACTGCGCCACGAGCCGGCGGCCGGTCTTCCGGTCGGCTCCGCGTCCGTCACGAGGGCAGCCGACGTGCGCCTGTCTCCCACCGGTCTCCCCCTGGCTTCTAAGCCGCTCGTGTATCTCATCGGCTTACTGGAACGACTGGCACCGAGCGAGCCCTGCCCGCCGTCCACCCAGCACATGGGCCGCTCGCTGACGTCCGACCAACCGACGGATAGCGCTGCGGCTCCTGACCGCCGGGCCGGGCGCTCACCGTCTGTCCACGTGGTCGACCACTCACCACCGCGTGAGCCACCAGAGACTCGCTGGCGGACCTCTGGTCCGGTGGAGGGTTCGTTGCTGGTCCCTGGTCTGCTGACCGAGTCCCGGCCAGTCGCTGACCAAGAACTTCCGCCGACAGCTGGACCGCAATCGGACCTCTCGCCAAACCTTGACCTGGCGTCCGACCTTCCACCGCCACCCGTGCTAACGGCGCTCCTCTCGCGCCAGTCGGAGGCCGACTCTGCGCTCCCGGCTGCCCCCGGTGCGGGCCTCTTCCCGTCCGCTCCCCGATCCCCGTCCCACACACGCTCCTCGGCCTCCGCCGCCTCCGGCGCAGGTCCCTCCGCGCTCCGCGTCCCGTCGGCGCCGGCCGCCGCCGCCGCCGACTCCTCCGTGGCCTCGTCCAGACTGGCGCGGTACTCGGCCCGCACCCGCCGCAGCAGCTCGCGCGGCTCATCCGCCTCCAGGTCGGCGCGCAAGAAGAGCTCGGCGGCGCGCCGGCAGCGAGCCACATGTGCCTCGCGCAGCTGCAGCAGCTCCGGGTCCGGTCGCAGCTGCCCGCCGCTCACCAGAGCGCTGGTGACCTGACGGGCAACAGAGCACAGGCCACTGACGGCAATGACGCGCCAGTCCGGTGGTATGTAACCGGGACGCACATCCACGGACAGACACACGGAGCACTGCACCAGGTAAAAAGGTCTTTTAGGCATCGATAGGTCACTGACTTGTGCAGACATCTGACGTTAAAGCAGTTAACGGTTCGGATGCGGTTAAATGAACACGGCTAAGAGATCCATGCGCCGAAATCAGCAAGTTTCATTACCATGCTATCGTGTGATAATTATGTAGTTGCTTTTACTCGCGCGCGGTCATTGAACCACTGATTCCTTGAGAGTACTGAATATTCTGTTTCTTAAAATACTAGCCACGGGTGCGAAGTTTGTACCAAAAACACTCATAAGCACACTCAATAGGGGCCTCCGTTGACCGTTCGCCACTGTCACTCTGGGGACGAGTGCCCAGCTTCTCCGGCGTGCCATCGGCACCACTCCTGGCCGAGCTCCCAACTGGCAGCGGCCGGTCACCGAGCCAGGCGGCTCACCTCCGCCGCCCGCTCGATCAGCGTGTGGGGCAGGCAGGCGAGCCGCGCCGCCGCCAGGGCGTAGCTCTTGCCGGCCGCGCCGGTCGTCATCTGGTAGAGGAAAGTGACTTGTTCGGCACCCGGCTCGGCCACCAGCTCGGGACAGACGGGCGTCACCAGCTGCGACGGCGGTAGCAGCGCCGCCAGCCGGTGCACGTGCGTCGAGACGAGCGCGTGCGGGCAGCGTCGCCGGCGGCCTAGCAGCTGGCCCAGCGCGGCGGCCAGCAGCGCGGCGCCATCCTCGGCCAGCGTGCCGCCGCCGAACTCGTCGACCAGCAGCAGGGTGCGCTCGCCACTCTCGGCCAGCGCGGCGCACAGCTGGCGCAGCTCGGCCAGGAAGGCCGAGCCGGCGGTGGCGCCGGTCAGCGCCGGCGGCGTCACCGTCAGCAGGGCGCGCTGCACGCCCAGCCGCACCGACGAGGCCGCCACGAACGACCCGGCCTGCGCCATCAGCACGGCCAGCGCCACCTGGCGCAGGTAGACTGACTTGCCGCCACCGTTGGCGCCCGTCACCAGCTTGAGCCGGTCGCGCAAGCCACCGCCGTCGCTGAAGAAGTCGTTGGGTACCACCACGTCGGCGCAAAGCTCCAGAAGCGGGTGGCGGCTCTGTACCAGCTCCAGCACGTTGTCGTCGACGAACTGACGTGGTAGAGGTTGGGTCAGACGCTCGGTAGCTGGCGTGAAAGATTTAGAAGCACGCACAAGCATTGGTAAACATAAACCGTCATCAGCGAGTGACATGCATCCACTTTCGCAACAGCAGCTGCACAATCAATACAACATATTTCCCTTTTTCACCCAGAGCTGGCTGCGATGTGGCATTGCTTGGCTGTCAGACGAAGCCCTTTAAACTAAATCACACACATAACTTACAATTACATTTTTACTAAGCCAACTCGCGCGCGCGCCTCCTTTGGCCTGTCCCCCCACCCCCGCCCGGTTGTCCGTACACCCCTCTCCCCTCCCTCGCTCTGTCGCTCTGCCGGTTGTCCCACCTGCGGCCGCACGTAACCGAACTCGGCGGCAGCGCGCGCCAGCGCCATCACGGCATCCAGCTCGCCGCAGAGAGCCGTCAGCCGGTGCACCTGCTCGGCGGCGGCCAGCACCAGCGCCGACAGCCGGAGCATGACCAGCGTCTCGCCGTCCCGGATGGCCGTCGCCACGTCGCCGACCTCGGCGTCCAGCGCGTCGCAGCGCGCCGACTTGAAGAGCACGCGGCCGCGGTCCTCGAACTGGAAGCGCAGGCCGGGCAGCGCGCGCTGGCGCTCACGCGGGAGCGGCGCGCGCCACTCGTCCACCATGATGAGGAAGCCGATCTGCGGCAGGAAGACCATGCTGCACGTCTGCACCTCATCGGGTAGCTGCTCCTGCTGGGCGGCCATCTCGCGCGACAGCAGCTCCGGCAGTTCGGCGTATGTCCGCTTGTGCCGGTCGAGCGCGTCATCGAGGCCCAGCTGGACGCTAAATCGGCGCAGCTCACGGGTCTCGGTCAGGTTGACGGTGGCGTGTAGTGTGTGCACCAGTCGCTGCACGGCGCCACTGTCGGCGGCCGCCACCCGCTCGAACAGCGCCACGCCGCGCGGCAGCTCCCGACAGATCTCGCCGACCACCACGCAGCCGCGGAGCGAGTCGTACAACGTGCCCCAGTCGCCGGCCAGCGCGCGCGCATTGCGTAGCCGATTCAGCAGCGGCGTGAGGTTGCGCACGCGGCGCAGACAGGACTGCAGCGAGGTCAGCACGTCCTCACTGCCCGGCCGCGTGAAGAACTCGACTGCGTCCAGCCGCTGCTCTATGCGCGCGCGGTTGGTCAACGGCTGCAGCAGCACACGACGCAGGTGGGCCACGCCCAGCGGCGAGCAGCACTTGTTGAGAGCGGCGAACACACTCAGACCCTCTCGCGTCGCATTCGCCTTGAACGACGACGGATGCCGGTCGGCCGAGAACACCTGCAGCGTCTGGAAGGCGCCGCTGCTGACGTACATCACGTCCTCCAGCGACAGCGTCTCCAGCCGCATCACCGGCTGCCGGCTGAGCGTCTCCAGCGGCCGCCGGTCCAGGAACCGCAGCAGCCCGCCGAACGCACGAATCATCGTCGTCTGCGAGAAGTCCACGCGGGAGGTGATGAAGTTGTAGTGTGCCTGCTCGTCACCAGATGTCTCTTCCGGCAGCTGCACGGCCATCACGCGGTGGCGGCAGCTGTCGGCGCGGAAGTCGCCGGCCGGCTGCAGCTGCAGTCGGGACTGGTCGTCGCCCGCGCGGGCGTCCGCCGCCACCAGCTCGGACAGCTGCGTGAGCAGCCGCTCGTCCTGGCGGCCGCTGGTGATCACCTGGACCGCGCGGCAGACAGCTTGAAATCATGCGGTCCTCGCCAGCAGGCGAGGGGGTGTGCAACCAGAGACGTGCTGAAGTGATCCATTTGATGTTGGTGGAAATGTGAGGGGTTAGGACTGGTGGCATGAGTTCAGCTTTCGTCAGCTACCGGGCGTTTCAGCAGCTTGACAAATACACTTGCATGACTTTCAGCCAAGTAACAAACCGTAATCATTCATCGTAACCTGCCCATAATATCTCGCAGTGGGCCCAGATTATAAGAGAGGAGGGGCTGAAGTACGGGAGAGCGGGGGGGGGGGGGGGGGGGGGGGTGGGGGTAGTCCTGAAGATGATCGTCACGGCTCATGCAAACGTAACCTTCCGTGGGGTTACGGGTGAGAGTATTGAGGCTATCTATGCCATAAACAGTAACATTTTCAACATCACTGGCATCATATTTTTAATTAACTCCATGATAGCCCGTCCAGCAAACATACAACGGCCCTAACCCCGCCACTGGTCAGGCAGCGAACCGTGCGCGTTGAACGCTACCGTCTCCTACGCTACCCAGTACCCGGCTCCTCTGGATCCCGCCCGCTCCAAGCAGGCGGTGGGCGGACAGCCGGCGCACCGGGCGCCTCCCCATCCCTCCAGTCATACCGCCCGGAAGAGCATGGCGACGGACGGAACAGCCCGTCCTGAAATGGTCACCTGCCCCATCCCCGCACCCCTGCCCCAATTAGCGGAACCAACCGCGCGGGTGCTAACAAGCACGGCGCCCGACAGTATTGGAGATACATTCAACGGCTGGTGACGACCGCTGATGCTATTCTGAAGGGTGCCTGCTTTGTAGAGTAGAGGACCCGCGAGAGACGGCTGCATTTCAGCATATTTTTCTCTCACGCAACGGAAGCCTTTGAGGTGAATGGTTGTTTTCATGGTCCGACGCCCTGTATTACCTGCCTACGGAAGCTGTGACTTGTAGGCATGGGTTGGGGACGTGGTAACACTCTGTGTACAAGACAACTATCACGTGGACGTTAGGAGTGCAGTGGCGACCTGTGGCTACGGTGAGCACCCCTTGGAGTGAGCCTGACGACCCTACTCATGCTGGCGAATATGAACTCTCCCGAGTGCTGTCCATTGTCCAATATTTTTCCCATACACACACAGACACATATATATGTATAAATGTATGTATATATATATATATATATATATATATATATATATATATATATATATATATATATATATATATATCTCTCTCTCTCTCTCTCTCTCTCTCTCTCTCTCTCTCTCTCTTTCCCAAAAAGAATCCGACAAGTGACCAAGCTTCCCGTAGCGTGAACTACGAGCTCTGAGCGCTAACCCGATCCCCAAAGGCCCCGCCCTGATCCCTTGGAGCCTGCCTGACTCATTTAAGACTGCAATTTCTGCGGGGCTCTCACGTGGCTCCCCGGGTACCTACCTTGCTTCCCGGCCCAGGTGCCGACCTGGCACCCAGAGCTCTCTCTCTCGTGACCTGGCTACCTTGAACGCTACCATGTCGGCCGGGGCACTGACCTGGTCGGGCTGCACCTGGCCGAGCAGGGCGCGCAGCTGCGGGAAGGCCGGCGGCGGGTCGGGCGTGTCGCGCAGCAGGGCGGCCGTCATGCTGAGCGGGTCGTACAGGGCCGCCGCCAGATGGCCGCCACCGTACGCCAGGCTGAGCAGGGTCGGCGCGCCGGCCGCGCTCTCGTCGTCCGCGTCCTCGCCGGCTGGCGACCGCTCCATGCCCGGCAGCACCTGCTCCGGCGGGGCGGGGGCAGGGGTGGCGTCGATGCACCGGAACTGGTGCAGTTGTACGGGGCGGGCTTGTCATGCAGTTCGTAGTCTGTGTTCAAGCAATTGGTGGATGGTGCCGGTGGGTTTCTGGGTCACATACGTTCAGGCCCATATTAATAGAGGCATAGCACATTCGAAGGCATTCGGCATAGCTGTCATTTATGGACAGTGGGGTCAGTTACAGAGAGCTGACAAGTCATAACTTAATCATATTTCTTACTTGAGGAAGGCCTCATTCGCCAAATGGGCTTATCAGACAATCGATGGATGGATCCAAACATTCTCAGATGTGAATGAATCTCCTAGAAGCGTGAAGCTGGTGGAACCACGCAGCGACCAGCTGGGAAGCGACTGGCTGTTGGTAGTAAATCTGGTTGTCAGAGGTGCAGTTTCCTTTTCAGCTGGGCGTAGAGGGGCTTCAAACTCACCTCAGCTATGGACTCGGGCTCCAGCCTCCCCCCCCCCAACTTCAAGAACGTGGGCCAAATCCGGGCTGAAGTCCGCTTCTTGCCGTAACCTGGCGGTAGGTTGCGTCATTTCAACTGTTGTCTCCCCCGAACTTATAGTGAGAAACAACGCCCGCGCTGGCTAGCTGGGAAAATGTGACATATCCTTAACATCCTCTTCGTGTACTTTCAAAGTGCACCATTTCAATTACGTAATGGGAGTTTTTTCTTTAGAAAAAGTAAAACACATCCACACCTTTCGCCACAAACCCATTTTGTTTTCACATCAACATGACCTTGATTCTGCGCAATTTGTCCAGAACTATAAAAATGGCATGGTTAATCGACAGTATATAGCGAATGCATTACGCCATCTAAAACGCATCAGGAATGCAATTTTAAAGCTTTATCCAAGGTAAATAATTGACATTATAGGGGAACAATTCCAGTGATGCGGAGGTAACAAGGCATTGTGTGCATGCTCTTGGTAAACTATATGGGACGCAGGCACATTGCCAAAATATTTTAAAGTGCGTCGGAGGGGGGGGGGGGGGCAAACGCATAATTTTCTTGAAAATCCCCCTAGTTGGAGCGAATTTCCACGAAAATTTGTCCCACAAGTTTTTGCGAATCTCTGGACTGGACTCCCCTGGCCCTTCCCTTGGCTACGTCCCTGGTGGAACGGTATAGTTGAAGGCGGCCAGGGGCCACACTAACGTATTAACACTCGGCGCCCCATTCTAGCAATTTTTGAATGCGATTTTACAGTGCAGATTACACCAGTGATGTGGAGAGTGGCACGATCCAGACCACTTAATATCTTATGCTTCTTTGCAGGAAACGCCAACAGCCCATGCATGAGGGAGACACGTCCCGGGGCGGCAAGAACTCTGTGCACGTTCTGTCTCGGAGAGCAGCGATTGGTAAGTACTCTCAAACCGTGGGCAGACCTCCCGATTACGCACACCCAACAACCAACAACAATCTACCAGACGGCAGTGTCGAAGTCTGCAATGATATGCATTCTCCATACTGTCTGCTAAATCATGCGCTCCTCCACACAGGAGGACGAGGATCGAGGAGCTCCTGGTCTTTTGCATTAACCATTATTTCCATATCGGTACTGCATTGAAAGGAAAGCCTCATGAAGAATGGATGTCGCCCATTCTCTGATGCAGGGCTAAATCATGCGCTCCTCTACACAGGAGGACGAGGATCGAGGAGTGCGTGCGTAATGTGCGTAATTATTTAAGGGCATATTATTTAGGTATTCATGTACACTCACAAGCAAAGTATTGGTCAGACACACTTGATGAGTTAAATGCGCGTCCATGGGATTGCCGAGAAAAGATTCATATTACGCAAAATTACAAGTCACGCGAACGCACTATTTATTAATCAACACCCACATCAAATTTACATCACCCCGCTTAAATGCTCGCCTACCTCCCAACACTTGTGCCAGCCACTCGTCCAGATTCGTCGCGTCTCATGCGCCTTAACCGCAGCACTACCGGCCTATTCCGTCTCTGAGCCCTTCCTTCGTTTCCAGAAACAGCAGGAATCGGCGAGGGCTGCCCTCAGCCCCAGCCTGCTGACCTCCGCTGCGCCCCCGGTGGCGGCGACGTACGGCGTGACCTCCCAGCCGATGGTCGGAGTCACCGAGTCAGCTCGCGACCCGTTCGGCTTCTGCCCCGTGTCAGCTGCGCCCGCCATGTTCTTTTCCGGTCTCACCTCGTTCTCGCACGATTTCGGACGATGAGGCAACCTTCGGCGGAGCGGGGATGTTTCCAGAGTCCGTGCTGTCTTCCATGTGCCTACCTACCAATCGGTATGCTTCATTTGCGTGAGATGCTGTTCTGCTTGCGTGACCGATTGACGCGACCGCCTTGTTTCAAACCGTATGTATCCGACTGCATTGGAAAAAAGGCTGTCGATTTGAAAGTGACCACGACTTGGCAGAATGTCCCTGACGCCCGCCCGATAGGCGCGGGTTGCCCGTTTGGGTTCATCGGACAGGTTCTGACAGATGCGGACAGCCGGGACTCTCAGTGGGGCTGGCCCCTGCCTCCGGTGCCGCTAAGGAGCCCGCCGTGCGGCGGGCGACGACATTTTCGGTCGATGTCACCGTCTGCAGTAGGAGGATTGACGGCCGCGTTTTGTTTTGTCGTGGTAGCGGTATCGATCAGATCCGAGTGAGCTGCCTGATGCAGTCCGTGACGGTGGGCGTAGACGCCATCAGGATAAGGCCGGCTTAAGGAAAACACTGATAGCTTTCATGTGGTGCGTCTCAGTTAAAAAGGCGTGCACAAAAGTGACGGTGTATCAGGAGCCTCTGCTGTTTTGTTGTGTTACGTGACATCAGTAGGTAAATTAATCGTCCAACTACCACACACGCTTTGGATGCATCCACAAATGTTTTGTTTAAGGCTGCGCCTTGTTGAGATGCACGCCTATACAGTGCCATGTCTCTTCCCACTGTTCCAGCCAACCGTGCTCCTTTGACGTTGATATTCAGTGGTATAGTCACGGCCGACGTCGAATAATTGTGTTTTCGCGACTCATGATGGTCACAGCTAGCGTCACATTTAATGTGAGCATCATATTTAATCAGTACCATTGTTGGCCCTGATATATACTGGTGTGCACCGCCGTCACCTCATGGATGCGGTCTGTCGTGCTGCTCGATCCCAGCCTGAACGTACGCCGCTGCTTATTGAATATGTCATCCATTGTACATTGCTGTCACTTATTTGCAACCAACACGATAGAGATTTCAACTGTACCTTCGGTGCCTAATGTATGTTGCGCACGAGGAAGCTTTATGGAGCAGATTCCTTGTCCGTGCATTGCTGCATTGTCTTGGCTTCAAGGCGCAAAGTCTGAGGCATGACAATCGAAATCTTTTTTGCATTCTGAGAATCGCATGATGCAGTAGACTCAACTTAGGTTGGAAAGGTTATTGCGAAATTGTGCAACTACGAATTGGTCATGACTCAAGGTATAATGATGGTGTGCTCCACTGATGTCTGTTTGCCGGTATGTTTGAGGAATGTTTAGTACAGAAGCCATGAATATTTGTGTGTCGTGCCATCCTTATTAACACGAATACAAAGATAAAACCGTGTTGAGCGTATTGGAATGACGGGCTAAAGGTATCGGTGAATATTCTTGTATGAGGTAGTATATTCTTGTATGAGTGTATATTCTTGTACAGTACCAACATGACTGCAACATTTAGACCCGGTCTTCCCTGATGTATCCATGCCTGCAGCGTAGTGGAAACTAAAATAGTCAGGATGGACCGAGCGTTCCAAATTTCTGAAACATTGATCTGAACTTGGCGTTGACTTGAAAGACGTCCCCGAAGATACCGAAAATGACTATCACGCTGCTCTCTGAAATTGGGAGAATTTCTATTGCTGCTGCATGTCAGTTACGTTTCGTCACTTACACAGTGGTCTTATAAATGATCGTAATAATAAAAGACGATTAGTCTATTTGCCAGTCGGATCACGTTTCTTAATTCAATACTAAAAATAAATGATTCGCTGTCGCTGACACAATGCTACATTTTGTATACATGCATGCTTACACGGCTTATCGCACTTTGCAAAGAGTATTGTTTGTAATTTACCATCCGGGTCACGTTTTTAAGTTTAGTGCCAAATCAACTGATAACCTCCTCCCAACTGATTCTTGAATGACCGTTTTCCTGGTGCATTTGTATCTTCCTTCTGGCTAGGAGTTTTCTTTTAGCACAATAATAATTATACATCGTTTGCACGACCTTTAGCTTTAGCCAAACGGGAGGGATGAAGCGGAAGTGATCATTCGTTAGGATTTCGTTTTAATCAAATACGTCGTGTGTATCAACAGACCACATTTCCGACAAATGCGAGGCGCAAAATTGGTAATATTTCAGCTGTCCTGTATTTGTTGGTAGCCAGAAATAATTTTCTGGTTTATGGTAATTTACCCGTTTGAAAAAAGACGTTAACAAGCATTATGGTCAGCTTAACTGCATTGTTATCATCGGCCGGAAATCAATACTTTTGTTTTGACGAGTAAGGCCTACGGCGCGAAGCCGCGATCGGACTTCGCGGTGCTCTGCTCCATTCTCACCCGACATGGATAAGACTCCAGATACCTATCAGCCAATCGACTTCTGCTTAGTGGGCTGTTGGCCCTTGATGCAAATTGACGGTGAATCACTGTCCTGAAGCGAAATCTCCATGAGCGCCACCACCGATTTTTACCAGCGTATTAAGCGTCCGATGTTATTGGCTTCCTGGAATACTGTAATCGATCGGCCAACAGTGGCGGCGCAAGCACCGATAAAGCGCTTCCATAAAAACAGGGACGTGGCAGTGAGCCGCGTGCTATGCACTGATTTGCTGAGTTTGTTCTACCACTTTGAAATAATCATTCTTTTAATGTCAGCATGCTACAGGCATGGCTTAGTACCGCTGGTTTCCTTTGCAATTGCAGATGGGTAGCTTGCCTTCGCGCTACCGCCCATGCCTCCATCTGCCCGTCATCCAACCATAGGCCGAAACACTTGTGACGTCATCCCTAGCAACCAGGTGAGGCCGAATGTAAACATAAGGGTCCAGCGTTGCTATGGGGGCGCACGCTGTAAACGCGTGTGCTGCGTCCTAGCGGGTGGCGGAAGGGACGGTCCTTCCTAATTTAGTGACATTCGACTAGTTGCAACCGAGTTTTGGGCATGTGACGTGTCTGTTGAAAATTCGCACGCTGTGAATATGTCCGTCGAGATCGTGCAGTGGATCGTTATTTGGTGCCGAAGCATGAGGCTTCACCACGGTGCTTGAGCGCGCGTGCTGGCTCCGCGTTTCGCCGCCAGCGTCAAACAATGAGTGGAAAACGCAAACCATCCACAGCATCCAACAGCATCTCGAGCGACGAGGAGGATGTCGGGAGGACGCTGGAAAAGCACGACACCTCGGACACCGGTTATGAGTCAGTGGGCTCCCCGGGCAGTGTCAGCACGATCAGTGTCTGCAGTGAGCAAGCGCTGGAGGAGCTCCGCAGCTCCCAACTTCCCACCGGACCTGGTCTTTGGCCTGGTGCACGGGAGGCTACCGGTGCTCGTCCCAAGACCCAATCCAGGAAGAAAAAGAACTTACTGACGATCAGTCAGCAGCCGGAGGTTTCGGACGAGACAGTGATCGGCACCCCCAAAAGCCGCTTTAGACGCGGTAAGTGCAGGGTGGTGACGTTGGAAGTCTCAACCGTCTTCAGGCCTCTCGCTGATTTTCATTTCCATGAATGCTTTTTTTCATTCGCAAGCTGACGGTGGACGTTGCATTCAACGCAAACACGTGGCCTGACTCATATTGAACTCGTTAGTCGCCAGTCCGTCAGTCGGTGTCAGTCATTGATTGCTCTTCCCTGGCTTTTCCATGCTTTGGTGATTGTGACCATTGTCACGCAATGAACATTCGTCATCATGAACAGCTCAACATTTGTTATGGTGATTAACTCCACATTTGTCATTATGACCGACTCAACATCTGCCTTTGTAATCAACACCGTTTCGTTATGATCGTGTGTATCAACAGATAAAGAAACGTCCAAAATTCTAGGCCATTTTCAACGTTACTTCTCTCTATGCGATGCCATGGCGGTAATGCTCATTATTCTTGAAAAGGGAAGGGGGGGGGGGTTTACATAGTTCTTTCCACGTCACTTATGATACGGAACAGTGGCGCAGCTAGGATTCTGCCCAATAAAGGAGCCAAATCGGTGCATAGAGAACCCTTTCAGCTAAGAGCCCCCACGTCGTTGCTATAGGGTTCCTGTTTTTTTATGCGGGGATTGGGGGCCTTTTACATTTGGTGACCAATAGTAATCCCCCAAGGGGCCTTTGCTTTGCCGGAAGCAGCCCTTTAAAGGGTTATTGTCCGGTCCGCCCCCATATGGTTTGACTTGGCTCGCGTAATCAACATCGTCCAATGCCGCGCATTGGACAACGCAGCACAAACAAATGACCGTACATGCTTATGTATCTATGTGTATCTATTTATATCATGTCGATATGTATCGATCGATGTTGGTCAAATTGGCCATAAGCTCCGCAAGAGGAAAGTGTTCTGGGAACATCATTTTGTTTCTCGCCTTTCCCCAATGAAGCTATGACGCCCCGCATGTGATTTTTTCAGCAAATGTGTAATTTCATAAAACTAGTAGACACCGCACCAGCACGCAATCTGCTTCACATATTTGGGCACCTTTATTTTACCATTTTCGAGGAAAAATCACAACCTAATGCGAGCAATACAAGCAAGAGCATAAGATAGTTTCACAATTTTGTCCAGTCCTGTGGAGGCATGCGCGGGTTTGCATGTGTAACCACAACTCAAAATTTCCACTGAAAATCGTGTAAGCGCGCCGCAGGCGCGCGTAATTCGCTGCATGACATATAACAACATTGCGTATTTAGGTGAAATATATACTTTTAAGGAGTACATCTGCATGTGTCAATTTTTGATGTTTAGTTGCATGCATAATGCAGCATGCAACGCCATGATAAATGGATGACAGGCATTCCCGATTTCCCCTTCAATAACCGCAGTTATTTGCCAGATTTGAGTTTAGTTATTTGGAGGTGGCCTGAGCCCCCCCCCCCCATCCCCGATGCATACGGCCCCAGACTCTACTCATTTAGATTAGTGTTTCGTTCAGATTCGTCATCTTCCATCTTTGCGCTGAGCCTTAAACACTCAACCATTTGTTGAATGTCGGTGCGATCATCGTGCAATAATGACTGCACAAACCAAAACAGCCCAGCTTGATTTCTAGCCCAGTCTGAAAAGATCAACACACTTCCGTCGATAATTGTGTTTGTACTTTTACCGTTTGTTGCTAAAAACGCTTATTAGTTATCAACAACTTGTCACCTTGCATAAAGAAACGCCGTTTGGCATGTAACAGTTAGGCTTCCATTAGGTTACTTCATTGCACCATACTTAAATCAAACTTGGGATGTCCCATCAGGAGTGTGGGAACGACGGGCCAAGGGGGTAGAGTGGCGTGGGACACGTAGGATCTGCACTTCAAACTGACGCATGCCAATGTTTGTGGCGTCGATACGAGTGAGCATGGTGTGCCATTCATAGTTCGAAACGTCAATTGGGGGCCCAGCTCGACAAACAAGCTACCCAACTTTCTGTTAATTCAACACTGACCCTTCGAGCGTTGACTGCCCAGAAAGAAATAACTAAAATGGTGATCGGGCCCCCAGCTTGCAGGCACTTCTATTTCCCCTGGCTCCCCTCCTCACGCCCTAAGTTTGCTATGAGCTATGTGTCGCCACCAAATTGGCGTCCGGGACCCGCGGGCCCACATATCAGCGCGTGCCCGGGTGGTTGGTTGAATACCCCTCATTCGGGGGGGGGGGGGATCACTTGACCCCCCTGAGACATCAGAAACAACAGACCTAGAGACACCAAATTCACAGGGTATATTTTCCTGTGCGTGAAATCACTTCTATCGAAACTTGAGCTTCCTAGGTCATGACCTTGGTGTCAAATAAGGTCAAACAAGGTGAAATTCCAGACTGGTGTCCAAAGTGCTCCCGGACCTTCTCATGTCACCGTCGTGAATCTAGATACCTACCCTGATAAAAATGTCACTGGTGCTCATTTAAGGTCAGCGGCCTTGTGTGACGTTTCGGAAGTCATGACAATCAAAATCATACACGACTGCTTTTATTTTGCACTTGGGTGAGCGTCAGGGATTATGCTAGGCGGCATAATCCTAAAACCAAAATGTAGGCCGAGTCATTTAAGGTCAGTGACCTATTAAACAAGTACATGGAAGATATATAATGCGGTTCCCGTTATCAATAAATGCATAAGTACCAGAAACTACCCCATACACCAAGCTCGGGAGTAGTAAAACAGTTCGGTTTTGACCCTGGTATAACCTTCATACCTGACCCCAGTTCAACGAAAGTTGTTAATTCGATTGCTGTGTTGCCAAGGAAAATATCGCAAAGTTGTATGGCTTCGTCTAACACTACGTTGTTGCATCGTATTGCACGATTCCGTAGAAATTGTCTTCGCTTAATCCATGGCCTGACACTTACCTGCCGTAGGTCAGTGCCTTTACAAAGTACCTCTAAATTTGTATATGGAACAATCCGCTATTCAGTGGTTTACGGCTTGCAAAATTTGGTGCGGCTACGCCGCACCGTTCCGGAATCATTTCAGAAAAGCCTTCGAATCGGGTCAAGTTGTCCCCCACCCAAGCATGTGTTAATCCAGATCAGTACAGGCAAGTCTACCGTCCGCACTCCACTTGATTCAAGCCCATGCATCACCACATGCAACCTGAAATGCATTGGACACACTGTATGGGTGACACACAAGCATGGACGTCGCTAAGGGGGTGGATGTGGGTGGAGCACAACGGACCTGGACGTCAAACTGACGCTTGCCAATGTCAGTGCTTGTCCACAATCCGTCTGGCGTCGATACGAGTGGATATGGTGGATTATTGATAGTTCTAGACGTCAATTGAGGGTCTAGCTTGATAGCGCTGAAAGAAAAGCATGAATAGGTCGTAGCCACGACAAGCATGCACAGCCAAGCCAAGCACGCATAGGCCACAGGCCATGCATCCAGGCCAACAGGATGGCCAAGTCCCGTTTCAGCGCCTAAGCTTCCCCAGGGGCCTGGCACCGCCACTGCTGTTAACAACATTTCGGCGCGTGACATTCGGCTAAATAACATCCACGTAATTAGCATTCGACTTCAGAGCGTTTCGGTAAATTAGCATACGACCAAAACATGTCTCGGTTATTAGCATTTGACTAAAAAAATTGGGTTCATCAGCATTCGACTAAAGGGCAATTCGAGTAATCCACATCTGACTGAAGGCATTTCGGCAACTCGATATTCGTTTAAAGAACGCTTCGGCAATCGAATGGAGAACATTTCGGCAAATTGGCATTTTACTAAAAAGCACCTTGGCAAGTTTGGATTTAGTAGATAAGCATTTAGACTGAGTAACACTGCGCTAATCTGACACGTCATCAAAAAGGCACGTCGAGCAAATTGCTTTCCATTCTGAGTACTTCACCCTATTAACCTGTCAGCAAAAATATAAATTGGCGAATTAATCTTTGGCAATAAATGCATATTTCGCGAACATTTCCCCGGATATTTCCTCAGATACTCGCTCTCACACCTGCCCACAGCTCACACCTTTCCACTAGCTTGAGTTTACCAGTCATCAGTTGCAGAGGGGCTCAACTGTTAGAACAGTGCAAAATGCTTCTCACCCCAGTACTTACTTTCGTGATAGTCTTCGTCGAGATAGTCAACAAGTCTTGCTCGTGAGTGGGGAGGTAAAGTTGATCCCCCTGGATTGTACTTGGTTTCAGTGTTTTTATGAGGGGAGGGGGGTACGCTCAGTCATGCAGCTTTTCTAAGGAATCCTTGGATCCGTCTTCGTTGCGTGTCAGGAGAAATTCAAACATTTCCGCCGGTTTCCCTTTTGCTTTTTAAGGCCCCGGTGTTCATTAACTACCTTCTCATGGGATCGACTAAGTAGTCGCTTCAGTATCGCCGTGGTAATGGTCATTTCCTAGAGCCACCGGATTATGTCGTAGTCGCGAAAAGTCCTCGGTTGCTGGGCTTTTCAGATGCTTAGTGATAAAACTGAACGGAAATCCCGCTCTTTTGTTAGAAGGTTTGGCTCCAGACAGTGTTCGGGTGGACAGCGGTCCAACGAGCCTCACACCAGCTCACTGCTCCTGGGTTCTGGCTCCTGCATCCCACATCACTGATGTGATGACGAGGCGGAACAAGAAAACCCCTCCGCTCGTCGACCCTGACGGAACTAGATCCACTTGAGGCCGCCTGAAACCGCGATCTTGCTCTTCGAACGAGACACGCAGCGGACGTCGGGCCCTTTGTTCTACTCGCGCGACCGCCTTCTAAAGAACACGTGATTCCAGCCATTTGCGGCCAGCTTTTAAGTGCTGCATGAGAGTGGTCTGTTCATATGCGGACTGCGCGTCATCAGGATTATAGCGTGTGTTGAAGGAAGCCTCACAGGCACGTTACTGGGTCTCCTGGCTTTGGGCTTGGATCTTGCAGCTCATATAACACGTCTCGTCAATCAAAGGCATGCACTTGTGTGATATTGTTTGATTATGCTATTGCGGCCCTCCCCTAACCTAAATCTGATC